CACAGTTAAAGTAATATTCCACAGCATAAGGAAATCTAACACATCTTTGCCCAGTTAAAATACTATTCCACAACACAGCACCTATACATACACATAGACATACACACACACACACACACACACACACACACACACACACACACACACACACATTTTGAGATAGGGTTTCTCTGGGTATCTAGGAATTTGCTCTGTAGACCAACTCAAAGAGACCTGCTTGCTTCTGGCTACAGAGTTCTGGAATTAAAGGCCTGTGCCATCACCACCTGGCATATATTTTTATTTATTCTTCTCATACAATGCATCCTAATCACAGTTTCCCATCTCCTTACTCCTCCCAGCCCCCATCTCCCCTCTCCACCAGATCCACTGCTCCTCTGATTCTCTACAGAAAAGGGCAGGCCTCCCAGGGATATCAATTGAACATGGTATGAAAAGACTAGGCACAAACCCTCATAGCAAGGCTGAGTGAGGTAACCTAGTAAAAGGAAAAAGATCCCAAGAGCAGACAATAGGGTCAAAGACATCACCACTCCCAGTGTTAGGAGTCCCACAAAAAATGCCAAGCTAACAACCAAAACTAATATGCAGAGGACCTAATGCAGAGCCATGCAGACCTCATGATTGCTGCTTCAGGCTCTGTGAGCCCCTATGAGCCATTCTTAGTTGATTTTATGGGCCAGGTTTTCCTCCTGGTGTTCTTGGCCCATCTGGTTCTTACATTTCTCCCTCTCCCTATTCTTCAGGGTTTCCTGAGCTCCAGTGGAGGTCTCCAGTATGGGCTCTGCCTAATGTTTGGCTATGGGGGCTGGTGGCCATGTGAGAGGAGCATCAGGTGGCCATTAAGTTTCAAGAGATTAGCCCACCAGGAAGGAAGGCACTGATGGGTGAATCTTGGCTAGGCAAGGCCCTGAGGGCTTTGGCTCTGGACTGTCTCTTGCTACTGCTGTGCCTTTATATGTTTGCTGCTTTTCTCTAATCTGCCATTTTTCTCTGGTATCTGGCGTGGTGTAAATGGGTGTAGGGGGATCCCCACTGCCTTTAATGTAGTGTGATTGGAAATATTCTGCTCTACTTGGCATTTTTCCTATGGATTATTATGAAGATTATTTCCTCTTAAGTTGTACTCTTTAACTGAAGCAGTGATTTTATACTATAATAGTTTAGTTTAAAAGGGATTTGATGATTAAGAGTTTTTGATAAATACAGTAAGGGATTATGATAGGGGTTAGCTTAGTCGGGAAATTAATATAGGTAAAGGCAGGATTAGTGTTGCCCCACCCAGACAAACAGGGGCTGCAGAGGATAGAAAATAAGAACAAGGAAGTGTCACACAGCTAGGACACAAGAGTTTAACTTGAAGAGCTACACAGACTGTGGTTTTGGTTAGGGATTAAGAAAAACAATTGTGTCTCAGGAGCCAGGTTCTCTCAAGTTCATTTAATGTTGGTAAATGTGTTCATGAGTTTCAGTGTGCATCACAGCTGAAACAAAGCTTTCAATAATGACTTCATGTAACTGAAAAACAAAGAATTGGGTGGAGAGTTAAGATAATTGGACATAACTCTAAAAAAAATATGAAAAGGGAAACTAGTAACCTGTTTCCCAGGCAATCACAAAAACCACTCCCTATGTAAATGGTTGTGGCTGAAAGGATCTTGGTTTTGTAAAAAGTTTAAAAGATGAATGTTTAACTGAATGTGGGTTTCTCAGAAAGTGCATAAATATGTGGCTAAGAAATGTACTGGGGTTGACTTTTTCAGAAAAATATGGTTTTACAGTGATTGTATACTATGTACCTTTTGATTATGGGAAAAATCCTCCTATTTGTAATCAACTTGGTGTAGTGATTATAAACAGGGTGGCTAAAAATAATGAGCAGATGAGAAGCACTTATCCCTCAGGAAAGAAGTCTGTGTGTTTTTTTCTCACTAACTCTGCATCTCATGCCCAGTGTCTTTTATCTGCAGAAGGCTGGTCCCTCTGCAGTGGGTCTCTGCATCTGTTCCTGGTAGCCACTGGAGGAAGCCTCTCTGATGATGACTTGTATCAGTATCTTTCTTATTTTTCATTTGATGAGATGGGAATCTCTAGGGAGTCACTGCTATGTACTGACTAAGCCAAGACAAGGTTCCCTCCTCTTCTTACCTGCAGATGGAGTCACAGATGCTGTAGTTGGAGCCCAGCAATGCGCCTCTCTAGTGGGGCCTGTGAAGTCCTAAAATGAGAGGAAGAACAAGAACAAACCAACATTGTTTCTGATGCCTAGTGCTTATATACTCTAAGTGCTTCCTCTGAGTGAGACAGCTATTAAAATCATAAACACCTATAAATTGTAAAGGATGCTGGGAAGGGAAAAACTAGCAGGAAGGAGGACAATAAATTAGGTAGAAGATCCTTCTTTGGGTGTTCCCGGGAAGCTTCAGATTGGTGTCTCATCAACTGAGACATAGGATGAGCAAGAATGGAACAGAGCAATGGGGAAAAAAAACTTACATCAGGTCACCAGATCGCTACAGGGCTGGGTAAGTGGTTGAGGCAAGATGTAGTGGGTCATACAGGTCTTTGAAGGTCAGAGTCACTGGTCCTAGGTCACTGACTCAGGCAAAAAGGGAAGGAGACGCCATTGTTAGAAGATGGGGAAATTAACCTAAGAGGAAGCCCTTGGGCTTCAGATATTCACAAGTCTGTCCCATTAAGTGGCAATGGTGGTCACTGTGTCTGGGATGGTGAGGGCTGATGGCTGTCACCAAGCAGGCTGGTGAAGAGGGAGGGCATCACTATAGGGGTTCCCTGTAAAAATTTGGCCTAGCCTGTCTCCTAGCCATGCAAGAGATTCTGTGCCAGACAACTCGTGCACGGAGAGGGGGTGGGGGAGATGAGGGGTGTGTGTGGGTGGGGGGTGGGTGGGGGTGGGTGGGTGGTTCCAAGCTTCCAACTTGCCTGTTACTGTTGGGAGGCAGTTTGGATGGGAATGTGACCTGTGCTCTGGGCATCAGTAGCCTTGTGCTGACTGATGCAGGATTGTGGAGCCCTTGAACTAGAAATGGGTAAGCCTGTGGTCTGCTCTGCCCTGGAAGCTCAGCTGGAGGAAACAGAGGCAATCTATGAGGCTCACTCCCAGAAAGGGCTGAGCTTATGCTTGACCTGACCCAGACCCCTAAGAGTTTCTTTTTCTGTCCAGCTGGAGATTCTGCAGAGGGGCAAGGGAGGCCAACTAGACACTTCTGTGGTACAGTCCCCTGAGGAGGGCACAGGGGCTGAGGAGCTGCAAACATAGTCACTGTTCTCATCACTCTAATTTTCTTTAGCTTTTCAGATAAGGGCTCAAGTGTAAAATGCTTTGTCAGCATTAGAGTACAGAGTAGAGCATTAGAGCCCCAGAGCAGCATCTTCTGCTTAAAAGCCCCACTCACCTGCAGTTTCTGTGCTCCTGAGGGCTGAGGAAGATTTCATTTTTCTGCTCTTTACTCCTGTCCAACTTGGAAGGGTCTCTCAATCCCTCTTATGGAATATTGTCCAATGCCTGTAAATACATATACACAGCCACATTATTCCACTTGTCCAAACAGTCTCTTCCCTTTCAAACTTGTGGCAATTTTGGGAATCAACTGCTGAATTATTCCTCCCAATCACTCCCACTACATCTCATACTACACTTCCCCTATCATTTTTATAAAGGTTGAAAAACAGTAAAGGATGCCTACATCCTAAGCCTTAGAAGTCAACTAACAAAGGAAAAATTTACCCATTTGAATAGTTAGTACTGAAGATGAGGGACAGGAGCTGAGCAATTTCTCACTGAAAGGCCAAAGTCTCCACCTCCTCTTCTGTCAAACAAGAATGAAAGGATCGTGTATTACCATGGACCACAATGCCTTTATATTTTAAAATGTAAAAGTGCATCTCTTACAATTAAGTCCTTATTCAGAGGAGTAGTTCACAGTGATTTGAAGATTCAATTGAGAAGAACTACTACTTTTTAAAAAAAGACCTTGAAGCTACAGTGAGAAGAAAAATCAGGATTGGAAAAATTCACAAAAGATGGTTCTTCAACAAATGGAAAGTCAGAATTTCTGAATGGTATATTAGAGTCCAGCTACGTGGATCAGAAGCTGATATACCTTGGAAAAAATCCTGAATGAGAGTTAAGTAGATTTAGAAACTCATGGGATCCCTGTTCCTTGGAAAAAATCCTGAATGAGAGTTTAGTAGATTAAGAACCCCCATGGGACCTCTGTTAACTTACAAATGGGAAATTGATTAATTAGAAATCTTTCTTTTGGGTGAAGAACAAAATTTAACAGAAATAGCAGCCATTTCCTGTGCTGCCCCACGTGGACATAAGCCATTTGAAAGAATGTGCTCTTCCATTCAGCAGGACAAGAAAACTCAAGGGCACAGTAGTGGAGGTGTTCAAGGAGCAACTAATGCAGGACAAAGAGTCTGTGAGGTCAAAGCTCCTCCATGGTTGCTCACTTGGCACACGTGCATAGGCCTGAACACAAGTAAATGGTGGCCCCAGCCACCCCAGTCACTGCAGAGTGTGCATGGGGAGCAGCCACACGGGGGGGGGCACCCCACTCCACACCCTCCCACTGCTATGCATCTGGGCAAAACAATCTGAGCTCTCTGTAGGAGAGGAGCCTATGAATCTTTCTGCACCCGCCTCCTCTCAAGTCTTCCTCTTTTTCCACTGGGAGAAAAGATCTGAAAAAGGAAAGCACAGTGGGTTCAAGCAACCCACTGGACAACCCGTGGACAACTCCGCCAAACCCGGGCCCTTAGGAAAGGCTTCCAGGACAGGTGGTAGACCAGACTCTCTCTGGCTGTACTGAGTCACCCACAAATCAAGCTGCCACTAGGCAAAGGCTCGGGAACCTGCAACAGTGTATGAAAGCCGAAGGTCAACATGTCTGCATTCAGGGGTCGTGGCTCCCACATGTGGCCACTAATCACTAGCCCCCGCCACCCCCCCCCCCCCCACTCCCGCCTTGTGCGCTGTGGATCCAGGGTCGGGGCAGACTTGCAGCAGGCTCACTCCAAGGTCAGCCAGGGGCAGTTGCCAGGGCCTTTAGGACCTATGCAAATAGGGGCAGATTCCAGAGCTGCCAGTGGCAGGAAGCCCAGGCTTCCATTGGCAGGAAAGCATGGTAGCAGGAGAGAGCAGGGCGCTTCTGCACACCAAAGGGGAGGTGCACCATGGTGACTGTAGAGAGCGCCCCCTGGTGTATGGGGTCCTCACTTAATAAGACAAAGCACACATTGGACCCTCCATCAGATCCTTCTGCTTTAAAGGAATAGGATCTCAGAGCTGCCACTGCCCACCCACTTGATGACGTCATGGCTTCACGTAGAGAAGGAGGCGGGCCTGAGCTGGAGAAGGGGCCTGGATTGGCAGAATCTCTGGTGGTTTCAGGCTGAAAGAGAAGCCAACGCCATACTTGAGTTTCTTCCAGCAGTTTCCCATCAGGTCCTGGAGCCAAGGTAAGGGAGAACCCAGGCCTCAGCCTTTTCCTGCACAGGGATGTGGGAGGACATCCAGGAGCTAGGGGTGGTGTTGGCCAGTTTAGCGGTTTGTTCCAGGAGCTGTGGACAGTGTTTTGGGGGGAGGGGAATGTAACAGTGAAGAGGAAACTCCATTTCCTGTCCTTTGAAATTAGAAAGGGGCTGGAGTGTAGCTCAGTTAGGTGAGTGCTTGCTTAGCATTCACAGAGCCCTGGATTTGATCCCCAGATCCAGGTCATGGTGGTGCATACCTGCAATACCAGCACGTGATAGCTGAAGGCATCAAGAGCAGTTCAAGGTCATCTTTAGGGACACATGAAATGAGAGGTCACTGTGGGCTACATCTTGTCTAAAAAAAAAGTGAGCAGAAAAGAAAAAATAATTGGCCTTTCTAAATCAGGGCAACACTGTGATTGTCTTGGTTCTAGGCCTGTCCCTTCACTTCAGTCCCTCTGAGGCCCAAGGGTTCCCTCTTCCCCTTATACCCAGGTCCACAGGGCCATGGTCAACCCCTAGACCCAGGCTGCCAGCCTTCCAGACTCTCCATTGGGAGGTCACAGGGAGTTGTGGAGGGGGAAAAGTTTATTTAGTCAGAGAGCCTCCAAACGCATCTAGTTTCCGTCAGTGTAAAAAGGCAGTAAAATGACAAGGTGTGGAGACACAGAGAACAGGCATACAAGAACGAAGGGAGAAGGAACATCATCAGATCATATACACCGGTCAGGCCTGCCGCCTCCACCCCCATCCTTGTGACAGGCAGAGAGACAGATGTCTCTCAGTCTAGGAGCTTCTTGTGCTTGGCTTAAGCAGAGATCAGTCAGAGCTGTCAGTAAGAACCTGTGCGCCCTTGCCACTCTGAACCCCCATTGACAAGTCCGTCTGCAGAGGCTCCCTCCCTGGGACCCGGATATCTGGGCCCAGCACAGACCAGAAGAATGCAGAAGTCAGCTAGAAGAGCAAACTTTTGGACCTCTGCTCATTGACCCCGGCAGAGAAGGTAATGAGCAGGAAGCAGGCAGACAGTACAACCCTGTCCCCATATGGTCACAAAGCTGCCCTAAATAAGAATATTGTTCCCATAGCCAGGCCTAGAAACAGAAAGAAGGCTGTGATGACTCCCACCACCTGAGAGTTATTTTCTTTTAGCACTCTAAGTATAATTTCACATGCTCTCCTCTCTGTAGAAATGTTGACAAGACATGGTATCATTTGGGTGTTTGGATTTTTTCCTGTGTATGACATTCTCCTTAACACACATAACACACTTGTAGTATTTGTAGATTTGTGCTTTTTACACCTTGATGTGAAATGTGAACAAGAGTTCCAGTCTTTGTTCCAGAGACAGAAACTTGGAGAAGAACAAGGAAAATGGCTGTGTCTCCTGTAAATGAGCACCAGGTCAGTGTTGTGTCCGTATATTTCCTTGAAAATTATATTGATATTGAAGTCATGAAGGCCTTTAGTACTCTGCCTTGGACAATGTCATCAGATGTGTTTATTCCTATGACTTTTTTTCTTTTTTCTTCTTTGATTATCAAAATTGTCTTTAAATTATGTCATAGCACAGCCTTGTTCTAAAATTTTATATTCTCTCCATTACTACTGTGAGGCAAATATTTTTCATAGACTTATGGGAGCAGATACAGAGATCCACAGCCAAACATTAGGTAGAGAGAGATTCCAAATTGGAGATCCCCGTGAGGTCCCTCCCCTCAGAGCACAACCTGCAGTTGTGAAAGAGTCCACTGTGAATGATGATCAATGACATATATTGATGCCCTACAGTTCCTACAGAGGATGGATCTGTGTCCTTATATATTAGTGATGATGGAAAGTCTGATGTGCCACAAAGGTTACACTTCAGGGATGGTCAGGTTTCCAGAACCAAGATTATGAATGTGGCCATGCAAATACATAGAACTATTTCCTTGTATCACAGAACAATTTGTTGAGAAGTAGACTTAGAAGAGACTCACTGTCAGAATCCTAATACTAATTGTTTCAGCAGTATAGAGTGGGCAGGTGATAGATGGAATGGTCTGCCTTGCTTTTGCCAAGAAACTGATGTTTCTGTGAAGAGATGCAGATTGCAGTATACTGGGTTTTCTCATTGGCATTTGATATCATTCAGTGATGATGTGCCTCTAGGTGTTTGGTTTTTTTTCCTTTTTCAGCTTTTTAATTTTGATTTATATTTTCCTCACATACAACGCATCCCAACCAACTGTGGTTCCCCTCCTGCCACTCCTCCCAGTTTCTTCCCACACTTCCCCACTTCCCCCTCTGTATTCCTCTGGTTCCTTTCAGAAAAGAACATGCCTTATGCTCTGAGGGGAGGCACCTCACGGGGATCTCCAATTTGGAATCTCTCTATACCTAATGTTTGGCTGTGGATCTCTGTATCTGCTCCCATAAGCTGCCAGAAGAAGCTTTTCAGATGAGACTTAGGCTAGGCACTGATCCATGAGTAGAGAAGAATATCATTTGGATCATTTGGAATACATGTTTTTTTGTTTGTTTGTTTGTTTTGTTTTTTTTCTATTGCAGGTCTCTGGGCTTTCCAGCCTCTGCCTCCTGGTCTTGCTGGCAGTGTTCGGCATGGACTCCCTTTTGTACAATGGGCCTCAAATTATTCCAGTCATTGGCTGCCCACTCCCAAAAGTTCTCCACTTCCATTGTCCCTGCATATCTTGTAGTCAGGATAGACTGTAGGTTGAAGGTTTTGTGTCTGGGTTGGTGTCCCAATCTCAACACTGGAAGGTGTCTGGTTAAAGAATATGGCCAGTTCAGACCCTATTTCCTCCATTACTAGGAGTCTTCCCTAGGGTCACTCTCATAGTATTCTGGTAGTTTCTACTGCACTAGGGTTCCACGTAGCACCCCCAATACTTTCCAATTCCATTAGCCTCTTTCCTGTACTCTCTTCCTCCATCCCTCCCCTGCCACTTGATCCCTCCTAATCCATCTGGAAAATCGATTTTCCCTTCCCAGGGAGATCCATACATCCAGCTTTGAGTCCAATTTGTTACTTATCCTCTCTGGGTCTGTGGGTTGTAGCATACTTAACCTTTATTAACAGCTTGCTTCTAAGTGAGTACATACTGTGTTTGTTATAATGGGTTACCTCACTCAGGATAATTTCTTCTAGTTGCATCCATTTACCTACAAATTTCATGATGTGATTGTTTTCAATAGCTGAGTAATGCTCCATTGTGTAAATGCCCCACCTTTCCTTTATACAGTCTTTGGCTGAAGGACATCTGTAGATGTATCCAACCTTCTTATTAAATAAGAAACACAGAACCAATGCAAAGAAGAAAGCCAAGAGGTCAGAGCTAAGAGCTAAAACCTTACCCTTCCTCCTGCGGTGGTCCTACCTCTCCGAACCAGAGCTACCCCTGTGTTAAAGTCTTTATATAGAGTTCCTGTTCTGCCTTCTCATTGGTTGTAAACCCAACCACATGATCGCCTCCTCACGGCCTGTCTGTATAGGCCTCCAGGTTTTCCATGATTGGTATTAAGATTAAAGGCATGTGTATCCAATAATGGCTGTATCCCTGAACACACAGAGACTTACCCAGCTCTGCCTACTAAGTGCTGGAATTACAAGCGTACGCTACCACTGCCCTGCTTTCCTATGGCTTGCTAATAGCTCTGACCCCCGGGCAACTTTATTTATTAACATACAAATAACATTTTAATACAAATAAAATATCACCATAGACATCAGTTACCAGTTTCTGGCTATTGTGAATAATGCAGCTATGAGCATAGTTGGGCAAGTGCCCTTGTGGTAGGATGGAGCACCCTTTGGGTATATACACAAAAGTATTATAGCTGAGTCTAGAGGTAGATCATTTCTCAGTTACCACCTGCCCCTAGTCCACTGGCAAAATCTATTCTATTTCCCCTGTGCAGGGCAATCCCTGCATGGGAATTCTTTCATCCATGTGTTGACTTCTCCTGGTGATCCTTGCATCTTTTGCTCCTGTTTACTTACCTTCTTTTTTTAATTCCCAGAATTCCTTCAGTTTGTGTTTTCTTTATTGTTTCTATATCCATATTTAGATTTGAAAAGTTTTATTCATTTCCTTCAACTGTTTATTCTTGTCTTTCTTAAAGGGATTCATTAATTTTCTCCATGTTTTTGTTTGTGTTTTTCTTGATTTCTTTAAGGGATTTATTTATGTTCTCTTTAAGGACTTCTGTCACCTCCATAAATATGATTTTAATGTCTTTATTTTTTGTGCTTCAGTTGTGTTGGGATACTCAGGACTTGTTGTAGTAAGATAGCTGGGCTCTGGTGGTGACATTGCCTTGGCTGTTGTTGATTGTGCTCTTGGGCTGGCATCTAGGCATCTAGGTTTGTGGTGATTATAGGCACAGGTGTCAGTTTCTGAGTTTATCTTTGTTGGATGGGTGTTCTTTGGTTTCTGTATAATCTCTGGTCTCCAGGTTGATGTGGCCTGTGGTTGAGCATGTGTCCTTCATCCATGTTGAGGACTGGATTTCTGGTATCTGGGGAGGCATCTGGTCAAGGAGGGTTTCACCTGAGTTGGAGGTTTGGACATGGTGATGAGGTGTTGTGGGTGAATTGAGAATGGGAAGTGCACTGAGTGTATGAGGGGAGTATTGTTGACGTGTGGCCTACTTGGTCTTATGGTGACCAGCATGGTTTCTGGTCAAGCAGGGGTCTCTGCCTGAGTCAGGGACTGGGACAGGGCAAGGTGGAGGGTAAAGAATGTTGGGGGTAGGTTGGGCAGGCACTGAGAGAGTGGAGGTGGTCTGTGGTGGGTGACCTATCTAGAGTTCTGGTGGCCAGCATAACATCTCATCAGGTAGGTGGCCTCCTTCTGAGTTGTGGGCTTGGACATGACACCGCATTGAAGATGGGAGGGGTTTGAGAGTAGCGGGGTCAGGTAGCTAAAGAGTGAGTGAATGTCCTCTGGCAGATGGCCTACTTGGTGACCTGCATGACCTCTGGTCAAGTATGGGGTCTCTGAGTTGGGGACTGGGATCACAGTTTTTGAATACCTGAAATATATTTGTCTCAGGAGATTTCTTGCTCTTATCATTCTCTTGATTCCAATAGTCAGTGGTAAATTCTCAATAGATTAGTAATTTCTCTTGTCCTTCATTTTATTTTTCAGACATTGTACCATAGTGAATTCTATAAGCAAACCAGGCCCCTGTTGATATTACATCATGTGAAATATGAAGTAAGACTTGTCTAAAAAGTGGTGTCTTGGAGCTGTGCATAACCCATCAATTTTCTAGACTCAGTGAATGCTTCTCTTAATGATTTTGCTCTCTTTTCTTTTGGGAGGAGGGAAGCTCCCCAATCCTATGGTTTTGCTTCCCCAAAGTTACTGTAGTGGAGTACTAGGTGGAGATTCTGAAGTGAGGTTGCAATGGACAGATTTCCATTTCTTTCTTTTAAATACAATATATTTGCATATGTGAATGTTTTCTGCATGTTTTTATATGTACTGCATTTCTGCCTGGTGAATATGGAAACCTGAGTTTGGCACCAAACACTCATCACTGGAATCAGTTACTGTAGTGAGCTGCCACATGTGTAGATAGAATTAAAATGGGTTTCCCAGCAAAAACAGCAAGTTCTTTCTACCATTAAAGTCTTTCTCTACCCTCCAGCTTTACATTTCTTATGGACATTTTTGAAGGAGTGGGGATATAACCTTGGGTCTTCTTTGTAAAACATGAAAGAACAATAATAAATGACAATTTTTCATGCAATCTAAAATTCTCTTAGATGAATAAGCCCAAATATTCATGTAAAGAACAGAGTTAGAATGACAAGATTCAAATTTTAAATTGAGCTGATCTCATAGGCAGCAAAATACTTAATGAAGAATTAGTATAATTCTGACAAACTTTGTACATTCTTATTGATCACAGAAGATCTTTCTACTTCATCTGAATGCACTGTCACATAGGCTATTTATTCATATAAATTTCTCTAACTATTCTGTAGTAAAAACATACATGGAATTTCTGAAATTGTTATTCATCTATATTGGCTTGTGGAATAACAGTATCTAATATTGATTTTTCTATTTATTTCATGGTAGTCAAAGTAGTGTCATAATTTAACATCACAGATTATTTGACTTTGTTGTGTATTTTAGAACATGGGATTTATGCACTCTTACTGATCTTCCTCATCAGTTAAAAAAAAAAAAACAGACCTCATTGACTTTGAATTCATCCCTGAATTATGCCTTCCACATTGTTCTACAGAGGGTGCAGCATGGAACCTGGGCCACAGTATCCCAACTGAGCATTTAGAATAGCATCATGTGAAGCCAAGATTCAGATTGAGCCAGTATCCATATGAGAGCAGGACTATAGGAGAAACATTTGGAAGCAGTTTTGCTTATCATAACTTTTCCATGTGAGATTAGACACGGTGATAATGTTTGATATCAAAATGCCCCTCAGGAAGGTACAGCTATACCTCAAATAGTTATTTCATATTCCCTAAAAGTTTAATGTTTGCCAAATCTCAATGTCATCCTGTTTTTACAGAGATTTTTTAAAAAAGTATGAGTATTCTACAAAGTATCTTTCTCCAAAATTAACTTTCATTTTTGCTTTAAAATATATGCATGACTGCCATCTATATCCTGCCTGCAGAGATCAGAGGTGAGCATTGGATCCCATGGAACTGGAGTTAAACTCAGTTGTGTAGTAGGAATTGAATGTGAGTCCTCTGAAAGAGCAGCTTGTGCTTAAAATTGCTAACCCATTTCTGTCCAACCTCTAGAAAACTTTAGTCTTTGAATAATTGTTATGCCTCATCTGCATCACAGAAGTGTCTGTCATTCCTTATGTTTCTTTTCCACAGGAAAGCATTTTGCCTAAAGCACATGGTAAATGGGTAATTTTCTATTACAGAGCCTGTTGACATTCAGGGATTTGGATGTAGACTTCTCCCAGGAGGAGTGGGAATGTCTGGATTCTGTTTGGAGGACTTTATACATTGATGTGATGTTGGAGAATTACAGAAATCTTGTTTTTGTAGGTAAGAATGCTCTTCTTGTAGAATTCCTGACTCATTGTTTGTATTTACCTATTATTTGTGATTATTTTTAAGTAAACTCCGTGAACATTCTATGACTACCAGAAATGAGGGAAATTCTGGTAATAAACATAACTTCTTTTACATTTTCTGCATTCTCTGCAAAAGCAACAAATGCTATGTACTGTGATCTGTCAAGTCCTCTTAACTAGGTTTTAACTGAAAACTTCAAAGTTTAAAGAATATTGAATATTCAGAGAATGGAAATACAGTGAAGTATTGTTAGTGATTGGAACATTTTAATTTTACTATTGAATCAAACTATTCACCTCTTTCAGATTAAAAAAGAAGAGGAAGTTTTAAAATAGAGAAAATACTGTGGTAGCTATGTTGTTGTTTTTGTTTGTTTTATTGATTAATTTTTGGAATCTGGTCTGTATCTTTAGTCTCGGTGAACATGATTTTAATCCTAGCATTAGGGAGGCTGAACCAAGAGGAACTGATGAGTTTCAGCCTAGCTTGGGATACATAGTGAGTTCCTAGTCAGGCAAGGATGCACAGTATGACTCTGTATAGACATAATCCACATATGATATTTTCTCAATCATGCATTTTTCCTACCTCTTCAAAATATCCATTTCATGTAAGGATGGAAGCCCCTTCAGTGATCCTTGTGTTTAATGGAGACTACAGTGGTTTTTATTACTGTTCAGTTAATGATAGTAAAACACAGAAGGCCTATGCTGAGAGCTCTGCTTCTAGTAAGTGCTAGTTAACTTGAGGGAACTTCAAGTATTGAATCTCTTACTCATTCATCAGTTCCTATTAGCCCTATTTGTTCTCACTTTCCAGAGAAACATCGCGTATGTGGTAAATATGAGAACATCATGGATCAAGGATCAAAGAGTACTGTCTATCAGCATGTGAATATCCAAAAGAAGTCTTATAAAGATAATGACCTTTGCAAAATGCTTTATGAATCCTCTTGGTGTATACCTTATAACACCAGCAATACTACAGGAAACCATCAAAGAATTCATACAGGAAAGGAACCTTACAAATATGGTGAATGTGAAAAGTCCTTTGGATGTAGCTCAAATCTTGGAACACATCAAAAATCTCATAAAGGACAGAAACCTTGCAAATGTAGTGAATGTGAGAAGTCCTTTACACGTAATTCAACTCTTAAAAATCATCAGAAGATTCATGTGGGAGGGAAACCTTACAAATGTAGTGAATGTGTGAAGTCATTTACATGTAGTTCAGCTCTTAAAAATCATCAGAGAATTCATACAGGAGAGAAACCTTATAAATGCAGTGAATGTGAGAAGTCATTTTTATATAATTCAATTCTTAAAAATCATCAGAGAATTCATACAGGAGAGAAACCGTACAAATGTAGTGAATGTGAGAAGTCATTTACAAATAGTTCAAATTTTAAAAATCACCAGAGAATTCATACAGGAGAGAAACCTTACAAATGTAGGGAATGTGAGAAATCCTTTGGATCTGGCTCAACTCTTATAAAACATCAGAGAATTCATACAGGTGAGAAACCTTAAATGTAGGGAATGTGAGAAATCCTTTACATATATTTCACATCTTAAAAGACATCAGATACTTCATACAGAAGAAAAACCTTATAAATGTAATGAATGTGAAAAGTCCTTTGCATGTAGCTCAAATCTTCAGTCACATAAGAAAAGCCATATGGAAAAGAAATCTTACAAATGTAGTGAATGTGAGAAATTCTTTAAATATAGATCAGGTCTTAGAAGTCATGAGAGAATTCATAGAGGAGAAAAACCTTACAAATGTTGGGAATGTGAGAACTCCTTTTCAAGTACTTCAGAACTTAGAATACATCAGCAACTTCATATAGGAGAGAAACCTTACAAATGTAGTGAATGTGTGAAATCATTCATATGTACCTCAACTCTTAAAAAACATCAGAGAGTTCATACAGGAGAGAAACTTGTAGCTAATTTCACTAATGCTTTAGCTAGCATACACCGCTAAGGATCTATCAGAAAATTCATCCTGGGGAGAAAAGTTTCTGTTGGAAATGACTTTGTATATGTTCTTTCCAAGCTCTGTTCTTAAAAGACACTAGAAAATATTATGAACATTAGATAGCCTTTATGTAATTTTGAACTCTTAGAAAATATCTATAGTTTGCACTGAGCAAACATTCTAAATGTAGAAAAAAATTCATTAAAACATTTTACTCTTAACCTCAAAGACTGCATAATTTATGCAAAGTAGTTAAAAACAGGAAGGTAATGTTGATTAAAATTTTTCTGGAGACTGCAACATTTCATCATGAAGGGAAGGTAATAACACAAAAAAAAATAATACCTTCATATATCATCAGGAAGTCTGCAAAACTGATAGGATTTCTTATGCTTAAGTCCCCTGAAGAAACTCAGACCAGTAATGCTGCTTAGAAGAAGCTCTGATGAATTGAGATACCAAGAAATGATACCCTCCAACATGTAGACAGGCCTACACATGTGTAGTGGGCTCAGGGTGTCCATTGTTCATAAGTTGTATCCCAAGGTGGGTTGGAGTTTCATGGTAGCAACTGTCTGAGCCCCTTTTACTACTGTAAGCAACTCCTTTCACATATTCCTGTAAGTAACTTGAATAAAATTCGTTCATTCAACAAGATGAACTTCAGTGACATCTGTACTTTGTTCTTTTTCAGTTCTCCTCTTTTTATGAGTAAATACGCATGCATGTTTCATCTCTTTTGGAAAAGCATAAAACATGTAATGAACCCACAATTTTTCCTCAAAAATTTTGTCCACCAGAAAATTGATATTAAGGAGAAAACAATTTGTTCACAGTTTTGTTAAATTAATGCCTCATTATTAATGCACCCTATAAAGTTCATTCTAGAAAACCCCCCAAATGCATTGCATTTGTCAAAGCTAGTGCTTAAAGTGTAGATTCATCTGAAAATTGATCCAAAAGGAACCCCCACACACCAATGCTAATACTCAACTATTATCCACCTTTAAAACACTGATTCACCAGTGAAAACTTATAAATAGAAATAATGCAACATATGTGGTCATGTACAACTAGAAAACCCCAAAAGTGTGAAGAAAATTAGTTTAGCAGTACTCAGAGCAGTAGGAAAAATACTAATCAACATAATTAGCACATTAATTATGGAAGATTCAGATAGAAATACGAACAGATTTTTAGACATCATACAAGCCAGGATAATACAATTAAGAAATAAAAGGAACATATGAACCTCTCATGCATTTTTGTGGGTGAGAATTCTTGTTTTTGAGTGACTATGAAAATGTTTTTTGGAACCATTTTTGTATTGCCAGCATTGAAGTTCCCATATGTCAACAGAGTTGCAAATTTAACCTCCAATATGATCCCACTGACTCGATTACAAATGATTACAGGATAATGTTTATTTTGCTGTACCATGCTGACATACCGTATAATTATTAGTAGAAGAGCTCTTTCTGTCAGGTCCCTTTCATACCACCCAAGATGCAGACAAGTTTTCACAAAGGTTAGGTACTCTTTACAGAAAGAGAATAAGGTGATTCTACTTGGGCAAAATAGACAAGTACCAATATGCCATGCATTTCTGCAGAGGATGTAGTCTTATCTAAGACTTCCCTTGAACAATAGGGTAAATGACAGAGAGCCAGCACTGCTTTCTCTTACTGGTTTCTGCTCTTCCTTCTTAGGAGGAACCTTAGTGGACATACTTGCTTTCCAAGCTACTTTCAGGGTTTGCCTCAGCTGCAGGTAGCATCCTAGTCTAAGGTCATGAAGTTTTTGCCTGATGTCAACCTGGGTAGAAGGTGTGACCACCTGGCTAAACAATGTGAAGCTCATTTCAGCACCAGTTCATCTGATGTCTGGACTGAGCTCCATGTGCTGTGTTCTGCTTCTTCCATGCTCCTTCCCAAGATACTTCTCTGGAGCTAATAAACATCCTGCCTGTGAACTAGCAGGAGGAATTCTCATTTCCTCCTTTTTCTCAAGGACAGTCCTTCAGAGCCTACAAAAAGTGGTCTTGCAGACATAAGCTTCCTCATCTCTAAGCTACACCATGCCTGACATGGCTCTGGCTTCTTTTTCTTTTTTTCCCCACAAATTTTAAACAAATATTTGTTGAATATGCCTTTTTTTAAGAAAAATTTTTTTTTCATTTTACATACTTTTGACAAAATCCAATACCCTTTCATGATAAAGGTCTTGGAGAGGTCAGGGGTACAAGGAACATACCTAAACATAATAAAGGCAATATACAGCAAGCCAACAGCCAACATCAAATTAAATAGAGAGAAACTGAAAGTGATTCCACTAAAATCAGGAACAAGACAAGGCTTTCCACTCTCCCCATATTTATTCAATTCATTGATTGAAGTTCTAGCTAGAGCAATAAGACAACAAAAGGAGATCAAGGGGATACAAATTGGAAAGGAAGAAGTCAAACTTGCACTATTTGCAGATGATATGATAGTATATACCTTCAGTAATGTAGCAGGATACAAGATTAACTCAAAAATGTTATGCCCAGATCACGTCCCCAAAGACGCCACCGGAGACTTTGGTACAGAATGCAAAAGCAAGGTTTATTCTAATTAAGTTTACAAGCCTTGGCAGGGGGGTTTGTTCCAAATCTCTCATGTGCAGCAGGGAGGTTGGAAGGAGCGAGCCCCTTTCTTTGTGAGGCTAGTTCTTAAAGGCACAGACCACATAATTCATTTCCCACAACCCGCCTCCCTTCCTTTGGTTCGTATCAGTGCCCCTTTTTTAGTCTTTCATGTTATCTTTATTTCTTGTTTGTTCAGCAACCGTGTTTAGGAGTTTTACGAGCTGTCTCTGGGGTTCGGGAAGTTTGGGATGTTTTATGACCAATTAACTCCTGCCAGATGTTTGATTATCCTGACTCTGTGTTCTTTTAAGTCCCTGTAGCTGATACCGCCACCTGGGAAAAAGGGGTCTAAGTTCTTATCTACACTTACGAATCCTGGTTTAAGCTTCTTTTTGTCTGTAGGGGATAGATTGTGGGGGGGTTACTGAGATTTCACAAAAATATTAGTAGCCCTCCTATATACAAATGATAAATGGGCTGAGAAAGAAATTAGAGAAACATCATCCATTACAATAGCCACAAATAATATAAAATACCTTGGGGTAACTCTAACTAAGCAAGTGAAAGACCTGTATGACAAGAACTTTAAATCTCTGAAGGATGAAACTGAAGAAGATATCAGAAAATGGAACTATCTCCCATGCTCAAGGATAGGTAGGATTAACATAGTAAAAATGGCAATCTTACCAAAAGCTATCTACAGATTCAATGCAGTCCTCATCAAAATCCCAACACAATTCTTCACAGATATGGAATAAATAATACTCAACTTTATATGGAAAAACAAAAAACCCAGGATAGCTAAAACAATCCTGTACAATAAAGCCCCTCTGGAGGCATCACAATCCCTGACCTCAAGCTCTACTATAGAGGTATAATAATAAGGGCTTCTTAGTATGCCCTTCTCTCTATGTCTTCTCAATTACAACCCTGAATGCTGGTAAGGATGGATGACTGGTGTTGATGGGACGGATGGTGTTATGGGGCAGTCCCAAGACCTTGAGACCTTTTTGTCAATGATACTGAATCTGCTCCAATCACTTAAGGAAACACAAGCACTTCCTTTGTCTGAAGATCTCACAAGGGCAGTGTTTGTTCACGGTCCTGATTTTTGAAGTATGGCTTGCACCTAATGGGTAAGGATGGATTCATGAGTAAAGGTTTATTGTTCATTTTCCTCACATATTAACCTTAATTGAGTAGCAGGGAATGAATAAATGAAAGATACACATACAGGAAAGTTTGCATTGAGTAGGTCCATGGCCTCTTTTGGAGGCACACCATATGTAGCCTAGAAACTAAGGAAACTCTGTGTGTGTGTGTGTGTGTGTGTGTGTGTGTGTGTGTGTGTGTGTGTATGTGTGTGTGTGTGTGTGTGTGTGTGTGTGTGTGTTTTAATAATACATCTGAATCTGAACTGAGGAGCTGGGGTAATTTATACAGCTAAATGGGAAAGCAAGATGTCTTAGGGTTACTGTTGTGATAAAACACCATGATCAAAAGCATCATGGTTTGCACAGCCTGTCTTTTTATAGGAAGTAGGACCACCAGGTCAGGGATAGCACCAAATACAATGGACTATGCCCTCTGGGCCCTCTCATATCAATCATTATTTAAGAAAAGGCCCTATAGGCTTGCCCACAGATAGACCTTATTGAGACTTCTTTTAAAATTTAAGGTTCCCTCCTCTCAAATGACTTTGTCTTGTGTCAAGTTGACATAAAATTATCCAGCACAGTGTTAATCTTTTTGGTGTTGTGTCTCAGTGTCTTTGTAGGGAAACTGGGTCAGATTGTAGTTGGCCTGGAGAAGGAAGCTGTGATTGTAAGTTTTACATGCTGTCAATATTGATAGATGGTCCTTGGGAGGGCTTTTGCTTTTCTTCAAGACTGAACAGGGGAAGGCTTTGCCATTCCCATGGGTATGAGACATTGAAATCCTTGGTATGACCATGCCTGTGTCAACTGTACACATTCAATGAGAACTTCTTCTGCTTCCCACATATTGAATCCCCAGGTGTCCTGGTGATTTT